AACTATAATCCATTGATAAAAAAATTAAAATTATTAAAAAAAGACTGGCGTCTGAAAAACCCCGCTTTCTGGACGCTACGCGTCCAGAAAATCGCGTTTTCCGGGTCCTGCGCCTGAAAAAATGTTGTTATAGCCACGCCGTGAAAAACATGTCATCTTTCTTTTTTCAATCCACATTTTTACGGAAAATCAATGTTATGCTACACGGAGAGAAATTTCTAACGAAATTTATTCTGAAGGTACATAAAAATTATCCTGGTGAAAGGATAATTCAGTACTAATTTCGTAAATTTCAATAACTATCCTTTGATAGGATACAGTTCAAGGAATACTTCTATATAATATTTATCCTCAACAATATTATTTTTGTCCTTCACAGAATAAAAATTATCAATCATCTGGAGAGTTTTTATTATTTTCTATTTAAAAATTATTATTCCGTCAGGGCAAAAAATGCTAACCTTACCTATAACTCATTTATCACGTATACTACGCGGGTTTGGGATGCATTTCCGTCAATAATAAACAATTATTTGCGCGAATTATAAGGCACTTATTGCCATTTGAAAAAAAAACCATAAAAAGCCAATAAAATTGTCTCCCCAGTGAACTCTTAAATTTTTTTTTTACTGCATCTTTTACTTTATTTGTTAATCAACAATGATAGCACAAGAAAATATTTTCTCACACCGATTCAATAGTCTCGTTTATCGAAAAAATTTCCGCCAAAAAATTTGTCATTTTCGCAGAAAATACTTGAAAGGCTTTTCTATTTAATGGCGCAAGTAAAATTTCAACTAGTTGGTTAAGCTATTTGTTATGAATAAAATTTAAAAAAATAGGGGTTTCCCGGCCGTTGGTATAAATTGCGTTATAATTGTGTCTTCTGCCTCTTTCTTGCACATATTGTATTAGAGAGAGAGAGAGGTAGATAGACTGATGACATTTTACGGGTAGAATTCATCCTCCGGAAGGGTAAAACTTGTCGCGCATCTGATTATTTTTTAATGCACACAATGAAAAAATTGAAAATTTTCTCATCGACTTATTTCTCTGCCTTTCCTTTACTTGAGTCTCATTTCTCCTCTTTCCCTTTTTTTAAGCGTCACCCCCACTTCGGTTGATCTCAGTGGAGGAGAAGGGCCTTTACGACCTGGGTCATAAAGGCCCATCACCCGATACAATGGGCTTTCGTCTACTCTTTGTTACGCACTAATAGAGGTCGGGAGCACGACTTGCTCTCAGAGCAGAGTTTGCCCAGCCCTGGTATAGTGAGCTGAACCTTGCCTAATGCCGGCCCCGATGCCGCGTCTCCAATTCCCGAGATTCGTAGCTGAGCCTTAAGTCTTAAGAGCCCAAGCTGACGAACGAGCTGATCTGAGATGATAGAGATTTTCGATCCGGGATCAATGAGTAGGCAGACCTGATGAGCTGGACGGTCTGGACGTACCAAACACCCAAGGCTGGTAGCCAGAAGCATACCAGGATGGAAATCTTGAGCTGGGCTAGGAGCTGACTGACGAGCTGAGCAGGAGACGGCAATCTGAGCTGATGAGCCTTAGACCTGGTCTGCCCATGACGTGCTGGGGTTGGCTGAAGCGGATGGAGGTTGAGCTGGACCTGCAGGCTAAGCCTTGACCTTAGTCCTGTCCCCATGGTGAATATAGGTCACTACCGGGACAGGTTTCAGCTGGGTTGAGCTGGTCTGTTGCCTCTGTTGAGCTGGACGTGCAGGCTGACTCGATGGCTGACGGTGCAGTATCGAGTGGTGGAGCTTCCCACAGTACTGGCAGGTGGTCTTTGACCTGCATTCGCTGACCGAGTGTCGTCCCAGGCAGTTATAGCAGAGGTAGCGTCTCTCTATTACCTCCCGACGGTCTGGCACGGTGAGCTGACGAAAAGATGAGCAGGACGTGAGGTAATGATCCGCCTCACACATGGAGCATGAATACGTGACCTTCCCCGTTGGAGCGGACTTTTTAACTGGTCTAGACCTTTGCGTTGGTTGAGCGGTGCCGTGGTGAACCTTCGCCGATGTCGCCTGCTGGATGAGCTGACAGTGGATGGCTTCGTGGAAGTAGCACGAGGAGTCGAGTTGATCTCGATACTCTCCATCGCACGTGCTCTCCCAGTGAGGAATTTCTTGAAATTCTTGAAAGAAGGATACTCCGAGGATGAGCGGACCTTAACCTCCCAGGCTTCGCAAAGCTTTGAGCTGAGCCTTTGTGAGACCGTGTGAACGTGAACTTGATCCCAGTAAGCTGTCGGAGACCCCAGAGTTTCCAAGGCATTCAGAGCTCCGCTGACGGTGGTGAGAAAGGCATTCAGTTCCTTGGCACTATGAGCTGTCATGGCTGGGGGACTGAGGAGCTGCTCCAAATGAGCTGAAATGAGCAGTCGCTTATTGTCATAGCGAGGAAAGAGCAGGTCCCAAGCGATCGAAAACGACTCATCAGAGATCGTCAGGTTCGCGATGCGTTGAGTTGGTTCCCCTGACAGACTAGTGCGAAGATAATGCATGTTCTCGACGTTTGATAGGTCTGTATTTGAGCCGACCCGAGACGCGAAAAGATGGCGGAACGAGCACCATTCTGTGTAGGCCTCCCCGAATTTAGGCAGCGAAATCTCCGGGAGATAACGCTTTGAGTATGTGGGCTGAGCTCTACCAGACGCGAGAGACCAACGAGAAGAGCCTGAGACCCCCTTTTTATGAATGAGCTGATTCAATGTTCCGCGAGCTTCGTGGTAATATCCGATGGTAATGTCAAACCACTTGTCCCTAAAATATGACAGTTCAAGGACCCCTTCGATCTTCCCGCTACTTGCAATGAGCTTCTCAAGGGTACTCTCAAACTTTTCCCAATAGGTCTCCAGGATCTCCAGTTTACTCTGGAGATTCGAGATCGTGAGGCTTTTCGCCTCTTCTGTGAGCAGCTCCTTATGAATGCGCTCAATGAACGCCGCCCGCGATTGGTTCAGGCTAATGGTCGCCTCAAATGATGCCATAATTGATAATATATGAGCAGCTCAAAAAAAACGTAGTAATGATAGAATAAGACGACCACAAAGCCGATCAGTGAGACTGCGAAGCGAAAGCAAGAGCAAAAAAGCGAGAAACGTGATAGCTTGATAAGCTATGCGTGCGAGCGGTTCCGGAGAGTAGTCCGAAGAATTTCGCAAAACAGCAAAAGATTACAATTATAAAAATTATAATTATATTATTATGCAAGAATAGTGTTGCAGTGAGCTGTTCGAAAAGAGCCAAAGTTCGGAATCCAAAATAATTAAGACCACTTAGCTTGCAGGAGATTATATTGAGGTCCTGGAGCGGATCTGCGTTGTGGTTAGTACGGCCCTGATGAATGAGCGGGGCCCTCGGTTCTCTAGGGTGGTCCTGACTCGCTGAGCTGGGCACTGCAGACTCGTGATACGGTCCTGGCCGTTGAGTGGGATACTGCCCGGGAATGATACAGTCCTGATGGATGAGCGGGGTCCTCGTGGTGATGTGACGGCACTGCATTGAATCTCCACACTCCCGCGTAAATCACTCAGATGCCGCGCCAAACCGATAAAAAGCAAAAAAATATTCCACCGATCCGGCTCGAAGAACCAAAATGTTGGTTGAGATACGGTGGAAAATTTATGATGAATAGATGAGATGAGGACGGATTGTCAGGAAGCGTTGAGCGGGTCAAAGAAATCACTGCACGCGGGTTTTAATAAGTCACCAGAAGTAAATTTTATTATTAAAAGAGTCACTGAGATTACCACAAAGAATTGAATTAATATAAATTGAGCGGAAACAGTGATGTACTTGGAGCGTATCACTATTAATGATAGTTGAGCGGTACCGGGAAAACCGTAATTGATTTTCCGTAGAAAAGAGTGATGAGCGGTTCCGAGAAAGTCGTATACGCAGAGTAACGTTTGATATGCAAATGAGAGAGATAACTCTGCTATTATTTGGCAGGTGATATAGTTGAGGCGGTCACATGACCTGATTACATTATCTATATAGAATCAAGGTGAGCTGTTCAGGAAGTGGCGCCTCAGGTGTCAAAAGTGATGACCCCTTGGTCATCTAAGGTGAAAGCGTCAGGTGTGCGTGAGTGGGGGAAGAATGGATGAGCCGCGCGTGAGTGTGTGTGAGTGCCCTTTCAGCTGACAGGATTTCCAACACCCACCTTGAGTTCAAATTTTCAAAGGATGCCTTAAAATTATTAGTCAAGGCTGATTGGAAATTTGCATTTAATTCTGGTAAAATAGAAGAGTGAGAACTATTGTTTATACGATATGAAGTTTCAGGTCTTGAGTCATTCGTCGACATTCTGAGCAGAGGGCGAGAATTTTCAGTTTCAGTTGGATAATCCGATGTTCCACGGTTCAAATTTTTTCTTGAGGTGGTTGACATTGAATGAGGATTTCTAGATTTCTAGCACATTTTCTGTGACGATTTTTTAGAATACTTGTTCTTTACTTTGCAATCAACTTTCGCAGTATCCTCGCGCAACCTTTTCCGACGCCCAACCACCGTGTTGCATTAAAATTGTGATATTTGGTTCCGCGTTTGCAAGTAATGTGGCAGACGTGCGGCGGAAAGAGTGTCCTGTGAACTTTTCATGATCGGACAACTTTAGGAAAAGTGCGATAGATTTTGGCTTGAAATTTAGGCGAAAATTTGTTTCTGCCAATAACCTATCGTCTACACGTTCCATTTTAATAATTCAAAAAGAATATATTCGTCGACAATCCATCTGGCCTCAGAGCTGCGTACCGATGGACTACATTGTACAGTGAGAGGCCATTAATAAAAGTTCTTGGAATGTAAGTCTTCGTCTCGGGAATGTTCACGATGTATTCGGTTTCTGTGTCTTCAATGTCTGAGGTCTGGATGTTGCAAAATTCAATCGTTCGTAATGCTCCACATACGCCAAAAATGAGAATTAGAGTTTTGATTTTTCTGGAGAATTTTATAAAATGAAAAAAAAAAGAAGTAGAGAAGACAGAGACAAATGGGATACACGATAAAATGGAATGCGGGTAAAATGGCATGAATCAGGAAGTTTAATGGAAGACGAGAAAAAATAATCGATCGCCAGAATCCATTATATAATATTTCAGTTTTTCCAGAATTTTATGACATTTAACGAAAAAAAAATGTAAAATTCCCATGTAAGCAAATTCACGATGAGAAGCAAGAAATGAACGATTGAAGTTAGATGGCGTATTTTTTGAGAATATTGAAATATCGAAAAAGTAAGAAAACCACAGCATATTTAAAGCGCAAAATTAAATTTGCCAAAAACAGTGAAACACTTTTCGACAGTCTCCAACATTTTTGGCGAGTAAAAATGACTGGGAATGAATTAAAAATGTTTTTCCGCAAGTGTCCCTTTTTGCCCCCGCGTGTCTTTCCAACGGAATCGGGGAAGATAAAATGTTGAGAATTGAATTGTCAAGAGAATATTGCAAAAAAATTTTATTTGTAGTAAATTGAAAATATGAATGAACTGCAGAAATATTTTTCATGTTTACCTTCATTGCGAGGTACACTGAATCTAGTGCATCCTCAAGAAGCATTTTTACGTGATCCCACAAAAAAATTTTGGATTTTTTTGGTCTATATCGCTTGGATTATTTTTTCAGGAAAGCTCTGAGTTTTTGGAAAGTTTTTAGGTTAATACTGTGAGGCAGATCCATCACACTTTTTAACCATTCACTCCATCGAGTTGAAGCTTTTTTTTTCGATTGGTCATGAAAATATACAAGACATGCATTCTCTGTAAATTCTTCAATCTGAGTGTGTTTCGCCCATTCAATAAACTTATTATCACAAAGCTTATATCTCAAGCATGATTTTAAGAAGGGCAGTAGATTCTCCCTGATACCTTGGGCTTCTCCATTAATATTCCTTGTTGATTCTTCCTCATAATCACTTTCACTGTTACATGAATTATCAGATGATTGCATTTTATAATTGGGCCTGTGATAAATTGTATTGAACAAAATGAAACGATTCTATTATTGATGGGCGAAACATGGATCAACCGTCAATGTTGAAAGAATATAGAGGTTTGGAAAACGCAAGCGCAGATCTGAGTGTATGCCTCCGCGGTGAGAAATAACCGCCACACACCATCCCATCTACGCGGAGGTTTCTTTCGTGGCTTGTTTCTCACTTTCTACCCGCTCAGTGCATTTTCTTCCCTCATCGTGATAGGTTAATAATCTCGTACTTTCGAGAACACCACAAGGGGCCGAAAGGTCGAACTTCCGGTGTAAGGATAGTGAAAATTGGATTTTTTTTCCGCGCGAAAGCGGAGCTGAACGTTGCGCACTCTAGGCGCACGTGGCGCTAGGTCCACACCAGGGTATCTTAGACCAGGCATGGGCAATCTCCCGGTAGCTCGGAGCAGAGCCATAAACTCGAGTTAGAAATCCAATAAAGTTTACAACCATTTCAGTAATAAGGGTCTTAGTACTAGCATAGTGGGGGCAGTAGTGGGGGCTTCACAGGTACTAAGGTGGGGAGTATCCCATGAAGCATCTGGCAAGAATTTATCCTCCGGAAGGGTAAAACTTGTCGCGCATCTGATTATTTTTTAATGCACACATGAAAAAAAATTGAAATTTTTCTGATCGACTTATTTCGCTGCTTTTCCATTACTTGAGTCTAATTTCTCCTCTTTTCCTTTTCTTAAGCGTCACCCCCACTTCGGTTGATCTCAGCGGAGAAGGGCCTTTACGATCTGGGTCATAAACGTCCATCACCCGATACAATGGGCTTTCGTCTACCCTTTGTTACGCACTAATAGAGGTCGGGAGCACGACTTGCTCTCAGAGCAGAGTTTGTCCAGCACTGTCTTAGACGACCACCTGTGGCGTGTAGTCGACCTTTTCCACCGGCGAGAACACGTGAAGAGGAATAGTTGTGGTGGTTTTTTTTTTTTGTGGAATTGAGGAGCGTCTTCGCGGAGGAGAGCCGTTTTTTGTATGTTGAAGTGTCCCGAGGACACCTCCGACCACACTGACCTTAGCTGAGAGGAATTTTGGTGTGCTGGAGAGGCAGGAAAACCCCGGCAAGTACGCTGGCTTGTCGTGGTGGGTTTCGTGATAGGTTTCATGGTGGGTTTGGTGTTGGGCGTTTTTCCTCTCACGTTCGGTTATTATCTTATTTTGGGGGATTTCCCGCGTGACTAGAAGCGATTGCTCTATGCGGGAGAGCCGAAAATAATGTGTCCATCGGGCGTATCCTCCCCTGATGTTTTCTTTTTGCGTGAAACCCCAAGCCGCGGGTCAGGAAATTTCCACAGGGAACACTGTGTTCCCATTGTCGTGTTCATAGAGACGTAAAAGGGCGACCCCGCATACGCCAGAAATTCGAAAATTAAAAAAAAAGAGAGTCGTATTCGGGCTGCCCACCGAGGAGTACCTCCCAGGGTTCTCCCTCGGGATTTTTACCTTGGGAGCATGAGGGGTTCATCAGTGAATTAGTGACTTGGTGTTTGCCCCGTTCGCAGTCGTATCCCTTTCCCTTGCCTATTGGCCATGCGGATGCACCCCGCCAAAAGAAATGTGCGTAACTTCTCGTTTAGCGTTTTTTTTTTTACGAAACCCGGTGGTCGTGCGATTAATTATCTCGTGAGTGATTTCACGCGGTCTGGTTTAGCGCATAGTGGTTGGTCATATAACGAGTTGGTAGAAATGTCGTGGCGTATATGAGCCACTCTCGTCGCGGGAAAATTTACCTTCGCATTACGCATTACCTTCCGTTTTTTAATTCTGCAATCAGTTTTCCCTTGCGCATCGTGCTGCCGGTGAATGCCTCGGTGTTTTAGCTGCCATGTTAGTCCAGTAAATGAATCGTGAAATAGGTGTTGTTAGCAGCCAGGCTGCTTTTTTTTTAATTTTTCGCGAACTACTCATTCAAATAGTGGATCCGTTATGATTCTCATCCCCGGGTTGGGGTGGAAAAAATTGAAAAACACCCTCGAAAAACGGTTTTT